AAAAAAAAAAAAAAAAAAAAGTAAATGTAGAATGTTCTCGGTTAAAATAAAATTGGGTAGAGACATTGATACTACCTGAATTTTATTGTAGAATTATTATGAAAGAATATAGATAATCGATGTATCGATTGAAACCGCTTTTATCCTTTATTCGTTGTGCGTGCTTAGTCGATTTTTATAAAAAAAAAAAGAAAAAGGTAAAAGAAATAATACATACCACATACACATCTAATGTTTCATCTCTAGATGTATTACTTGCTCTTGTCTCTCTGTATTTTAAACATTAATTGTGTATCTCTTTCTCTTTTTTGTAATTATCTTCAGATCATTCCATCTTGTCGCTAACCCAATTCACGAGAGCGAATAATTAGACCTAGATATCGAAATTTATCGTCATTTGGAGGGGATTAAATCTGTCGTTTCTTTTATCGGATTCGTATGCGTTCTCACGCTCTGTACTACTATTATTAACTATTATTGCAATCAATGCGATTACACTGGATACGATCTTTTTCTGTAAAACCACATACACACACACACACACACATACACACATACGTGAAAGCTACAAATAAAATAATTACAACTCTCTAAATGTTTCCACGAATCTTTATTATTAATATTATTATTATATTAGTATATGAGTCAATAATTATAATTGAATATAATTTTAAAATATTTTTCGTATTTTGTCATCAATTTAGAATGAGTCATTCTCAAAACCAATAACAGTAACAATTCTAATTAATAAATATTACAGAATCGTAATTTAATATATTAAAAACAAATTTCATATGAGTAAAATTTGAACTTACAGGCTGTAAAATTATAAAAGTAAGATTTTGAGCGCATTTTGTAAAATATAAGCGTTTTGTTTCTACATATTAAGTTACAATTCAGTAAAAAAAAAAAAAAAAAAAAAAAGAAAGAAAGAAAGAAAAAAAAATTCGTCATACATAAAATTCTCTACTATTAATAAATTGTTCTTATTCATCATATTATATTAGATAACCCGATCTATGTATCGATTAATCAATAACAAAATAACTTAATTTACTAAAGTTGCGACCATGTTTCTGATATCAATTACATAATATTCCTCTAATCTACGATTATCGACTTCTGTAACGCAGTCATAGATTGTGAATTGTTATTTTTCGTATCTACGCTCGATAATTGATTATCTTTTGCAATAATATTTTCGCGAAAACTTGACGAGCTCGACAATAAACGTCTTGGGCCACGTTTATTAATTTCCACTTGTTTTAAAATTCGCCCTAACGAGTTTTCCGAATTTTTTGTAATCGGAGACAAACTGAGACTTGGTGCTGTTCGCGTTTTAATTATTCGTCCGCTCCTTGGAGACCTTATGATTTGATCAGTCGTTCTGCGCCTGGCAGATTTTAATTTCACACTACGTAACATGTCTAAGGAAACGACGGGTCCCTTTGGTCCTGGTATCGTGTTTCTTCTATTCTCCTGAAATTAACATTTTTCTTCTTTGTATATTTTAATTTTAATATATATATATATATATATATATATAATTCCAAGAAAGAAGAAATTATATTTGATATTGACAAATTAATTTTTTCAATTCATATTGATTAAAAATTATATTTATTTTAAATTAATTTGGAATAACGTAATTCTTTAGCTGCGCTGAAAAGAAATCTCTTTGAGAGATTTCCGATTTATTTTTCATAGATATATGTATCACCTTGGGATTTTTAAATAACCCCCTAGTGTTCGGTTGAATGGCAACGAGGGTTGAGGAACAATTGATCAGACTGAAAGTTGTATCGCTTTGATGAGTGGCCGATTAGTAAAGTATTTAAAATACTTGGAAAAATATATCTTTAGCAACATAATTCTCTTACGACTTCAACGAATCACAATAAGAAATCCTAACATTTTACACAGCTTAATTCTAAAAGATTTAACAATAATTTTTTCAAATAAAACAATTAAAGTAGAATAATCTAGAAATTTCAATATAATACATATATAATAATAAGACTTTTATGCTAAAATATTATAAATAAATATTTATAATAACTTGAAACTTATGATTCTCACTCACGTATTCGGGTTGAATGAAAATATTGTTATAATAAAAATATAACAATTGGAAAAAGCTATGGAATTTTTTAAAAATTTCTTTTGTTAAAAGAAGTCTGATCATCCCAAGTTAATTTGCTAAATATTTTATGATATTTTCAAACGAGAATCAACCAATGCCTTGAACTTTAGCAAATTTTAACTTCGAAAGAACAGAATTCTTCACACCACTTATTCATATACTCCAATTAATGAAGTGTCGTGTATAATAGTCCTTGGATTTACCTTAAAGTTTTGCGGTGCTTTTTTTAGGGTCACCTTCAGCAAATCCTCGACAGTTATAGCTGGCCTATTAAACAGTGGTGTCGAGCACTTTCTCGAGGGCGACCTGATGTTTCTATCATTATTTGGAGTGGTTGGTGTAATCGGCGACTTATGCGTCGAAATTTGAAGAAATGACGATTGTGGTGGTGGAGGGGGGGGGGGGGGGGGTGGAGGGGGGGGGGGGGGCGGGGGGGGGGGGGGGGGTGGAGGGGGGGGGGGGGGCGGGGGGGGGGGGGGGGGTGGAGGGGGGGGGGGGGGCGGGGGGGGGGGGGGGGGTGGAGGGGGGGGGGGGGGCGGGGGGGGGGGGGGGGGTGGAGGGGGGGGGGGGGGCGGGGGGGGGGGGGGGGGTGGAGGGGGGGGGGGGGGCGGGGGGGGGGGGGGGGGTGGAGGGGGGGGGGGGGGCGGGGGGGGGGGGGGGGGTGGAGGGGGGGGGGGGGGCGGGGGGGGGGGGGGGGGTGGAGGGGGGGGGGGGGGCGGGGGGGGGGGGGGGGGTGGAGGGGGGGGGGGGGGCGGGGGGGGGGGGGGGGGTGGAGGGGGGGGGGGGGGAGGAGGCGGTGGAGGAGGAGGAGGAGGAGGAAAAGCAGTTGATGGGTTGGATGATATTAAAATTGATGGTATAGGGGGTGGAAGAGATGGAGGAGGTGGTGGTGGTGGTAGTGATAGTGATAGTGATTTCTTCGGAGATTTCGATTGCATATTCTTCAGCATTTGGTGTAATGCTTTCAATTCTTGCATCAGCGTCTCGTTATTTCCGGTCAATTTTTTACTTAGTTCTTGTATACTGATAACTTCTGCAGTTAAAGTGGCAATAGCGGTTGAATTACCTGCACACACCTGTGATAAACAATAATGCTAAAAAAATTTTAATACATGACTGGATACATGAAATTACAAATCAGAATTAAGAATCAAAATGTAATGCTATGATATATCGATATTTATATATCATATTTTTTTTTAATTTTATGAAAGCATGAATAAACATGCTTTTATGGATTTTCAGAATTTTTTAATTTTGTAATCCTTTTATTACATCAAAATATAAATAATAATGTTATAAAAAAATTTTCGTAAAATATTAAATATTAAATAGTATACTTGAGTAATTTGATCAGACAAACAGGTAATTTTCTCCAAAAATTTGTTGATCATCTGTTCATTCTCTGAGCGTAATGTCATAATAACTTGATTGAATTCTTTCATTTGTTGTTTCGTTGATATAGATGTTGAAACAATTCGCTTAAAATTTCCATAAGCCTGAAAAAAAAAAAAATATTGTATAGATAATTAAACATAGATAATTTTTTAAACAAGCAACTACTTACTTCTTTCATTATAGTTGTTATTTTTTTTATCATCCAAACGCAAAATAGAACAATTTTAGCAATAGGTTTTTTTGCAAATTGAAGTTTTTGAAATGGCTTGCTTTGCTGAAAACTGGTACACGTGCATTTTTTATTAAATTCAATAGGCTGCAAAATAATAATTAAGTTCTATATTGTTTCTTTCTTTTTTATATGATAATAATAGTACTTTTATCATTTTTAATTATAAAACCAATATATATTTGAATAACTGAAAAATATCTTAATCTTAAATAAATCAATAGAATTAAAGAAATTAATGAATTACTTCTTGAAAACATCTACTACAGCTGCCAGAATCAGACATAACTGGAAGATCTAAAATCAAAGTGGTCGGGGATTCTGAACTGTTACTGCTCCATATGGTTTTTGTGATCGTTGTATTCGGGCAAAAATAATTCTGAACATTTTTTTTCTCTATTTGCAATAAATCTGTAACTGTAGCGGAATCTACAGGTTTTTGTGATCCTTCTGTTTCCACTTCCTCGTCAAATTTAAGCGTAGTTCGACATCTTTTCGCAGGAGGAGGTGAACCACTGCAAGGAGTGATCGATCGAGCTCTAATCCTCGTTGTTGTACTTTTCGCGTCTGTGTAATTTTCCCCATCATCGATTTTATTATTGATCTTCTCATCTTCTACGGAATAATGTTTATTGATACGTTCATTCGAAGTCTCATTTGAAGTTAATGACGAAGAAGTATAACAAGAAAATGAATTTGTTTGAACACGATTTCCAAAGAATTCTTGATTTGCAGTTCGTACTTTAATGTTACTTAAATATCGTAAATTTGAAAGAATCTGTCTGCACTCACTCCAATTATTGGATCGATTTCCATCTGAATCTTGCTCAATTTTTTCATTTATTATTTTAACTCTCGTATCTTGATCGTGTTTATTCCATTTTTCTTCATATTGGCCTACAGAGTCGCATGTAGAAATCATTGTTTGAAATTCGTCTAAAAAATTATGAAATTCGTGAGATTCTGATTCTGAATTAAAATTAGAAAATTTTGTTGGTTCTGAGCTATAACCACAAGGAACGTGATAAGATGATTTTGGAGAACGAACTTCAGTAGTGGTGTAATCGTTAAATTTAATCCTTGAAAAAGATTTTTTCTCTTGCAAAAACTTACAATTGTTCATTTCTAATTTTATTTCCTGATTCATCGATAGAGTTTTGTCTAATAGAAAGCATTCTTTCGCAGATACATCGATATTCTGTTTAAACAAATTATTTACTTGATTTATTTTAGCCACTTCCGACTCTTTTTCACCATTGTTTTTCTCTCCTGTCTCATGTTTATCTGATCTATTTAAATCTAATTTTATTCGACGAAATCGTGGTACGATTTCTGGACTTAAATCATCGTAATATGATAAATCAGGTTGTTCAGATTCGAATAATACAGATTCTGGGGATCGTTGATGCAAAAGTCGTTCAGATGATCTCGACTTTTTCTGTAAAGAAATATATTTATTTTCTACATAATCGATCTCGTCAGAAGTATCTGAATTTTGTAATAAAGTTTCTTGAGATTGATATAAAAATTGTTTGTGTCGAGATCGTTTGTGATTTTTCCGTTTTGACATTATAATTTTTATTCAAATAATTTATTCGATATTTATACGAAATCCAGCTACGTTCGTGGATTTATTAATCAAGAAAGTAACAACATTCTTAAGAGAAATTCTTTAAAGAACACTTTTTAAGCCGAAAAATTAACATACACAATGGAAAACACAGTATTTTCAAACTTGTTTCGTTAATTTATACAATGAATATGAAACTGTTCTATTTATTCGTTATATATATAGATGACATTGTATTAAAGGTTGCCTATTAATGTTTATTTTGATTTTAATAGAGGAAATAGTACACTAGGGAATTTTTGTTATCATATAATTTACGATTCTATTTTCTATAAAATTAATAATAAAAAAGATATAAATAGAATAAAAAATTTTTTTTATTTAATGAAATTTATTTTCAAATTACATGTAATATATTGCAATTTTGATATTCCACTCTTTTAAAATGAGATAGTGAATATCCAATATTCAATAGTGAATATCCAATTTTTTATATATAATTTTTTATATTCCATTTCTTTTAGAACAAAGTAATGAGTATTTCTTTTCAAATACTGCTCTATTTCATATTTCTTATTGCTCTATCACATTATAAATGAATTTAAATCTTTACATCTATAAAATATGTATTATATCTACTGATTAATAAAGAATTCGCCGCTTCTATTTTTTAAATTTTTCGCGTACAACGCGAATTATTTTCATAATCAATATCAAAAGTTATTAAGTTTTATTTGATATTGTTTAGTATCCCCTAATATTTTAATAATTCATGGAAATAATTTAATGTTCATTTTTTCATAAATTGTTCTCCCTTTTCAACATTCTTCTTGAGCTCTGGGATTGCTACATTTAACAGTTCTTTTTCATATGCATTGAGTTTTTCGATACCAAGATTCTTTTCAATTCCTCCTTTCTAAAATTTAACTTGAATATAATATTCCATTTCAATATGTATATATTATTGATTGATAATTATACTTACACCCAAAACAACAGCTGTTGAGAAATATTTAGTATCACAAACATCAGATTTGACATAACAGTATTCTGTAATACGTTCTCCATTAAGTGCTTTGATTAAAGAAAAACCAAATCTTGCACCAGCATATGCCATTGAAAGAGTGGCAGAACCTGTGCCAGCCTTGGCTTTAACAACTTCTGTACCAGCCTCTTGAATTCTCATAGTAAGAGCTTTCACTTTATCCTCTGGAAAAGAAACTGAGGGTTTAGTTTGTGAAATTAAAGGAATAATAGTGACACCACTATGACCACCAATAACTGGCACTGAAACATTTTGTGGATTCAAGCCCTAAAAAAAAATATTATATATGTAAATCTAAGATGTTATATAGAATTTAATTACTATACTTTTTACAAACTTTGGCTTCAGCAATGAATGTATTTGCTCTGACAATATCGAGAGTTGTTACACCAAATACTCTATTGGGATCGTAAACGCCAGCTTTTTTCAACACTTCACTGGCAATTGGCACGGTACTATTAACTGGATTTGAAATAATGGCAATAAAAGCTTTTGGTGATACTTCTGCTATAGCCTGGGTAAGATCTCTTACTATCGAGGCGTTTGTAGAAAAAAGATCATCTCTAGTCATTCCTGGTTTACGTGGAACACCGGCAGGAATTATGACTACCTATATAAGAATACAACAAATAAAAAATTTTGTTAATTTTTTTATTAATCTTAATCATTTTTAATAAAAAAAATTTAATAATAAAATAGAAACCTGCGTTCCTTTAAGTGCATCTTTTAGCTCTTCTGGACCAGTATACGCTTTTACTTTTGCCGGTGTATCTATGTGTGACAGATCAGCAGCGACACCTGGTGTATTTACGACATCATATAACGACAATTCGGTTACAAGAGGAGATTGTTTCATAAGTAATGAGAGCGGTTGGCCAATTCCTCCGCTTGCTCCGAGAATTGCAACCTTGGCATTGCACTAAAATAAAATATATCAAAATTAAAATAAATATAAAATATATATATGAATATGTATATATGTATATATTTGTAATGTTTTCTTATATATCTCTTATATATATTTATAGTTTTTTCTTTCATGTTTTGAATTTCATATAAAAATTTACGATATTAAAAATTAAGAAATATTTGATCGCTAATATTATTAAAAATGTTCACGATTGCATAACTGTACTTCACGTGTATGTCGTAAACTATACTTTACTGACATACAATGTTTCAATGTCATTAACTAATCTGATTATAATCTTTAGTTTAATAAAAAATCAAATAAATAATGAAAACATAAACATAATATATTATTATTGGTAAATATAATATTTAGTTAAAAATTTAAATTATTAGTTAAAAAAAAGCTTACTTTGGCGCTGGTAGATAGTCGTTTCGCTCCTTGTTGAGTAACATTCAAAATAGGTTTCAAATATTGTGGCAACATATTCTCTATGACTTTCTAGATACAAATGTAAGTGATTTCAAATTTCGAACGCTCAGTAACCTTTCAAAGACACTCCAATGACCTCAATGATATTTCGCACTTGTTCTCTGCCGTTCTCTCCAATCGTTTAACGTGTCGTAATACGTATACGATCATGCGTACTCTCGTATAGATAATATACGCAAGACTGAAATTACTTATAAAGTATAGCGCGGGAATTTTGAAAATTATTATCCATTATTATGTATTATTTTTTTTTAATCATTTCTTCTGTTAGTTATATACAAATTATATTTATGAAATATATTGAAAAATATGTAAAATATTTTTTATATATTTTACTACTTTATAAATATCATTTTATTATTTTTATATATTTTCTTAAATTGCATTTTAAATTTATCATTAAATTTAAATTTATAATTAATTTATAATTAATTTAAAATAAAATATTTTATATTTGTATCTTGAAAATATCTAAAAGAAATTATTTTTCTTATATAATCTTATAATTATATTGTTAATAAGTTAGTAATTCATTCTTAGTTAAAAATATAAAATCAATTAATTTAAAGTAAAATTTAAAGTATTAATTTAAAGTATTTTACATTTTTATTTTGAAAATATCTAAAAAAAATTATTTTTTAATCTTATAATTATATTAGATAGTAAATTAATAATTAATTCAATTACATTTTAAATTCATTGTTAAATAAAAATATAAAATCAATTAATTTTAAAATAGGATATTCTACACTTGTATCTTGAAAATATCCAAAAGAAATAATTTTTTTTTAATTTTATAATAATTAAGTACGTTTACTAATAATAGTAACTTAATTGTTCGGTTCTCATAAACTGAATAATACATGAAAAATTTTTCAGGATTATTTCTTAAATTTGATCTAAATTGAACTGTTAAAATACTTTTAATTTAAATTTAATAAAATACCAAAAAAATGTGTTTAGAAAATTAAATTTATATTTGTATTAAATAGTTGCATTAATTTATATTGATTCAAGATGTCAAATGGTATGTTAAGGTTAACTAACCTATGAAAAAACGTAAAATATAATTTCTTTTTTATCTATTTAAATCAAAAGATCATATAATTATATTACTTATTTCAGAAATAGAGACAAGTTTATTAATAATAATATTAGATGTAAACCCAGTGCAAAGAATTATAAAACAAGAAACAAGAATATTGACACAATGTTTGGATTCTACTATTGTTTTTGCCAATGCTCATTTAATGCAGTCATCTAATAATCAACTTGCAGTAATAGCATGCCATAGTCATGGAGCAAAGTTTTTATATCCTTGTGAAGACGCATTAGAAATTAGGCAAATTGATGGACAATATGAAAAATTTACTATGATTGAACTCACTGTAAGGCAACAATTACAAAAAGTTATCAATGAAATTACTTCAAATAAATTATTAATTGGTGAAAGTTTGATATCTGGAGCATTGACTATGGCATTATGTTATATTTCAAGATTGGAGAGAGAAAAGATTGCTGGTGAAAAATTATATTCAAGAATTCTTGTGATCACAGCAAGTAATGATTCAGCAACACAATATATGAATTATATGAATATATTTTTTACAGCTCAAAAAATGGTTTGTAATTCTTTTTATTTTAATATTCATACGATTTAAATTTAATACTTTAAATACAACTTTTTTTTAAATAAATAGGGAGTAATATTGGATGTATGTAGTTTAGATCAAGAATTAACCTTACTTCAACAGGGTTGTGATATTACTGGGGGAAATTATTTAAAAGTTCCTCAGTTAAATGGATTATTACAATATTTATTGGTAAGAAAAAAATAATTTAATTATTTCTAAATATTTTATTAATTGTGTAATTAATTTTTAGTGGATATTTTTACCAGATCCAAATGTTAGATCAAAATTAGTATTCCCACCACCTGTAAAGGTAGATTATAGAGCAGCATGTTTTTGCCATCAAGAATTAATTGATATTGGCTATGTATGCTCTATATGTTTATCAAGTAAGAAAAACAAGTTTTTTTATATATCATTACATAAATTTTTTGATAATAATACTAACAATTTTTTTTAGTATTTTGTAAATTTAGTCCAATATGCACAACTTGCCAGTAAGTATTCTAATTAAATTTTAATTTATGATAATTCATATTTTTTATATTTTAATAATTATTTAATTATGTTAATTATTTCAATATTATTTTTTTTTTTTTTTACTTTTTACAGCACAGTATTCAAAATGCCAGGACCTATACCTATAAAAATGAAGAAAAAAAAAAAGAATGTAGATATTGTTCATTAATTGTATTTAGAATTAAGGAATTTTTTTTTCATAAAAATATTTATTAAAATAAATATTTATTTTCTCATCATAAATATTTTTTACTGAAAACGTTTTATAATTTTATTGTAATATATTTGTACATTATTTATATATTCTTTCACACATTCCTTGAAATCTTTATATTTATAAATATGATTTCATTAATTTTAGATTCATAAAACTTAATGATTAAAATATGTTATTGCATCCATGATTAATATGTTTATGAATTAAAAAAAAAAATAAATATTGAATTTATACAATTATTATTACACAATTATTTATACAATTATTTTTATACAAAATCGCAAAAATAGATGGAATTATAAATATATAGCTATAAAAATAAATTATATTTAATAAAAAAATTAATATTATTAAATAAATAAACATTATTAAATATAAATATAATATTAAAACAGAAATCTGATAATTATCACAAAACACAAATTCCAATTGCGAGTAATATTTAGAGTCGTAAAGAAAAATAAAATATAAATATTTGAGTTAGGATTAGAATGAAAAATAAACATAATAAGCGTATTTCTTATAATTAATAATAATTATAATAATAATATTTTTTTATAATAATAATAAAATATTCATATTTTTCTTATTTATTCTCTTTACAGCTGTTTCTTTTGATTTCATAAAATCAAAGATTTCTTCTCATCTTTAATAATGGAGTTCTTTTTAATATCTTTGTATTATATAATTAGTAAATTTATCTTTCTCCTATATATATTATAGTATATATTATATTAGTATATTATAATTTAAAATAACATTATTTTACTTAATATCATTATAATGGAAATATTTTTATTAATCAGATTACTTTATTCTAAAAAAAATATTTTATTTTTTTATAAAAATATTCAAACTTATATTTAAAATCAATGCAATGATTGAAATATTTAACCAAATAATCTGGCAATGTTTTGTATTAATTTATTAGTACCAGTATGAAATGCTGAATTTTTTGTACAAATACCAAATATTTATGTTTCCAGAAGTATTCATCCTGATAAAAAACTGAAATTTTTAAATAATAAAAAAAAATAAAAAATAACTTACTTATAATCATCATAAGAATTGTTTTCTATTTAAAAATCAGCAATTATAGTATAAGCATATAATAAAAGCAAAATATTTCCATCTACCAATATGTGTCAATTGATTCTGCAATATTTATCAATATCTTCTTTTATTGATATTTATCATTTAATTAAAAATTTATTTTCAATTTTTTTTAATTTATTTTATTCTTTTAAATACTTTTAAATACTTTTCTGCAAGTATTAATAATATTGACAAATTATATTTATCAATTGTTTATAAACTATAATTTTTTATTATATATTTTATATTATATAATTTTATTTTCTATTTGAATTTTTATCAATTTAGAATTATAAAAAATAAGATAATTAGAAAAAATAAAAATTATTATAAAAAGAAAATTAATGATGATAATATTATTTAATATTAATATAAAATATATAAAATATTAAATTTTTATGAAATGAAGTTAACTGAAAATAATTGTATTTATATATTGTTAATATGTTTATAAAAATTTGTTTCATTTATTAAGATTGAAATGGACAAACAAAATGGTAAATATTTTTTTATAATATAGTATTCTTTATTTTTTTCTAAAAATTTATAATGTAAGTTTTACATAGACTCTTAAAGCAACAACTTGTAAGGAAGCTATTCAGCGATGGGAAGAAAAAACAGGTCTAAGTGCCAATGAAGAGAAAGAAATTATTTTGTCCTTTCAATGGCCGCCGATTGAAAAAATGGATAATAATTTAGCAGCACTTGCTGCTGTAGAGTTAGTAATATTTTTAAAATTTATTTAGTAAAAATATTAAAAGTAAAATTTTTCTAGAAAACTATCTCTCTCAACAAATATGATAGAAAAAATCACTGGTATCAGTGCATTAAAAAATTTAAAAATCCTCTCTTTGGGTCGCAATCAAATTAAAACATTCTCTGGATTAGAAGCAGTTGGAGAACACTTAGAAGAATTGTGGATATCATATAATCTAATCGAAAAAATTAAAGGTGTAAATGTACTAAAAGCATTAAAAGTGCTTTATATGTCGAATAATCTGGTAAAAGATTGGGCTGAATTTAATCGTTTGCAAGAAATTCCGCTTCTCGAAGATTTATTATTCATCAATAATCCTATCTGTGAAAGTATGGATGTAGAATCTTGGCGCAGCCAAGTAACTAGAAGACTACCAAAACTAAAAAAACTCGATGCTATACCGATTGTATAATTATTTAATTTAGTTGTTAAATATACGAAATGACAGTAGAAATTTGAATTTAATAAAAAATTTTGCAATAAAATTGCAAAATATGTATTTACACGGTATAGTGTACATTTATAATACATTTTTTTTTATGTTTGAATATAATACATTGTATTGACATTATCGACATTGCCTTATTTTATAATTTTTTGTGATGGTCAATTAATAATCTTCAACTTTCATGTCGTTTAATCCCAGTTCTTCATTCTGATCAAAACTTCTTTCATATTTAATAATCTTTAAACCATTATCTAAACCTTCATTAGAAAGGCTTTGAATGTAACTATTACCCGCTGGATCATCTAATACAAGTGTAATCTTTCGCTTTCCTTCCAAAACTTCATTTAAATGAGATATGAAAATTTCCATCCGTTTAACAGTTTCAGGATCACTACTATCACCGCTAAAAGCTGTTGATGATGATAATTGTTCTTTAATAGCTACTAAAATGCCTTCTATAGTAGTAAAACGTCCACCTAAAGCAGCAGGACCAATTTCTAATTCCAATTCTGGTATTTGCATATGACAAGTTTCAGACTTTAACAAATCACGATTAAAATCTTCTCTTCCTATGATTGTTACTTCTATTTTCACTCCCATGGGTTCAATACCTCCACCACTCTTAACTTCGTTTGTTCTATGTCCACAAGAATCACAAACTGTTGCCATAATTACAACTTCCTTAAAATGTGGAATATCTAAAAATTGAGTTAAGAATAAATATTTTTTTTATTGAAATAAAAACTGGGAATCAATAAAAATTAAAATAAAAATATTAATATTTAGAAAATTAATAATATAAAAAATAATATTAAAAAAAGAAAGAATATATATATTAATATAATATTAAGTAACACAAAAAGGATACTGGTCAATTTCATATTAGTTTCACATGGGCAATTACATTCTGGACAATTTGTTCGAAAAGAAAGTACTTCTCCCTCAATTTGTTCTAAAGTATATTCTCCTTCCTTTATGGGTTTTAACAAAGTATCCTCTGAATTTTCAGTATAAATTCCTAAAATATGATCTTGTTCTTTTGTTCTTTTAAATTGTATTATACTATATTCTTCATCTTTTAATGGAGCTTTTGGATTTTCTACATAACATTCACCTGATATATCTTCAAATATCATAATGAAAGGTTGTTCTAAAGATTTAAGTTTTTTTAGTTTCTCAAGAAATTCATCAATTTGAAATGCAGCAGTTGCATACTTTTTTCTTCTTTCAGGTTGATCTTGTTCTAATCCATTAATAGTTCTTTCTATAATTCCTTCAATTGTTGTGATTTCTCCTTTTTGTGATCTAGAAGGAATTTCAAAATCTAAAGATGGAATTTTTATACAGGTATAATCTGACTTAACCACTTGACGATTCAAATCTCTTGCAGTTTTAATTTGTAATGTTATTCTAATTCCTTTTTCTGCAATTTTTCCACTATTTTGTATTTCATTATTTTGAAAACCACAATGTTCACAATCAAAAGACATTACCACAATATCTTTATAATATGGAATCTTTGTTAACAATAATCTGGTAACACCCTGTATTTACAAAATGATAGATTAAATTAAAAATATTTATTGTTATTTATTGTATATTCACAATAATACCATACATTTTGTTCACAATTCATACAGAGACTTTCTATCTCTGTCGTTTCTGGTTCTGGATCATCGGCCGTCAAATTGCGAAATATTGGTTTCGTTTTTTCTTCAATATTTTGTTTCTGATCTTCTGCCATTTTTTTGGTTATATAGAATTTATATATCAAATTTATATAAAAAATCTATTTCAAATAAAATTGAAATAAATAAGTGAATTATATTAATTAATAATTTCTATATCTATTAAATTATATATATTTTTACCTGCTAAATATAATAAATTTTTAAACACAATTTATCATTCTTCAAATCTTTCGAAAACATAATGATCCAAATAAATTCACATTCACATGTGTAAATTATTTATTCTGATCTAGAATCTCTAGATGAAGAAGTGTAGGCAATCCTAGCTTGTTATATTACTAAAATTTTAGAATACATGTAATTGTTATAGAATTTATGGAATCTGCATAATTAAATAGTTATTTTATATATAATTATATTAATTACAATACAATAATTGCATTTATACAAAAAATGTGAAATATTAAAATTTATATAAAAATATTATCATTTACATAAAATATTATACTTTTACTAAAAATATATATTATTTAATAAATAAATACAAACAAGGAAATTTCAATAATATCAAATAATTGATACAGAATTTTTTTATTCAAAATTGATTATAAGCAAAGTTTTGAAATATCACACTTTTATGTTTATAAATATTAACTAACTTCATGTATATCATTTTGAATGCATTTAAAACAGTACAATGTAATATTGGATTTGACACTTTGAACAACAATTTTATATTTTTTTAGGTAAGACAATTTAAATATTTTATTTTTCCATAGCTTTATTTATTAAAATTTATTACTTTTCTAATAAATAAAGTTGTTCAAATTGTTTCAAATTATGATTCTTAATAATGATTCAATTGAATATATATTAACAATACTATAACCTGTAGTATCGCAGAACAAAATATAAATGCATTACAAATTATCAGATTTCTATAATATTAATGTATTATAATCATAATATTTCATTTGTACATAGCAATACACGTGGAACTTGAATAAAAAACAGTATTTTTCATGATATAAAAGGAGCATATAAGAAGAAGTTTCTGAAGCACTTTAAGCTAGGGAAAAGTCGAAACTCAGCATTCTCAGTGAGTGGCGCGAATCGCCGGCTGAAAGTACAATGGTTAAGCATAGCCAATGGCCGCCGCGAATGAGTGTCTCGTGTCGGTTCGGTTGCCGCTAATCGATGTGTTACTACGTGTTTTCGAAGTGTGCTAACTTGCATTCAACTCGATTACGCGTAGCATTAATTTGCGATCGATAATATGTCGAGTCGACAGTCAAAAAAAGAAAAGGTGCGTTCATTATGTTGCATATCGCTCCTGTCTCTAATCATGTACGTCTCTTATGCGATCGGTACTCACATACGTGAAAACAGAGTTCCTTTGACGAGGAAAGATCGCGGGCACGCGCGCATTTCAGAGAAGGAAAGAAAATATGTGTATGCATGAAAGAGCGAGAACGAGTAAGCAAGCGAGTGAGTGAGAAAGACAGAAAGACAGAGACAGACAGACAGACAGACAGAGAGAGATGGAAAAAGAGAGGGTGACAATGACAGGGATAGGGATAGGAGAGAAAAGAAAGAAGGGAGAGTAAAGAGAGTACGGGGAAACAACCCCGGTAGCCGAGACACCAAAGGGTGTAGCGTGATTCTGATTTCTTGATATCCATTTCGTTGGTACATTTTCTCAAGCAAACGTTTTGAAGAACCTAACAATGGTACTTCAACTAATTCTCGTTTCCGTTGTGACATCGCAAGTGCGAGTTTGTCGAGCAACCGCGTCTTGAATGTGAATTGTGCTGTCGTGGCATTGTACGCTAATATAAGCGGTGCAATTTACTTGTTTTGTTCCAGGATGCGACGAAGATCGGGAAGGACAAAGGAAAGAATGGCAAGGATGTTGAGACGAATGACGAGGTGAGGTTATATCGTCCTTCTATGTCCTTCTTATTGATGTGACTCGATTCATTACGAATCGACTTCTGTCATCATCAATTTCTCCTATTATAGATTTTCCTTTCTATATTTATACATGTCATGTATTCAATTCGTTAAAGTTATCAAATGTTGACGTTGTGTCATTTCTTTAAAGAAAAGACTTTATTTAACAGTTATTCTTTAAAAGTGATCTAGTATCCATCTTCGACACTGTGCTACCTGAAATGTTTTTCTTTTCAAAGTCATGTATATGTGTATATTTTAAATATATATTTCTCTGATATAATTTTTCAGTATTTTTTAATCAAGTTTATATTTTATGATTAATGTTTCTAAAATGATTTAAAGTTATGAAAAAATGCTACTCGTCACAGGTGGCGCTTGTGTGTGGACTTAGTTGATAAATAGAAAACGATATATACGAAAGATGTATTACGAAATAACCAATATTTTTTTACTCTTTGTTTCTTATTATTTTTGTTATATAGAGTATATTTAGATTTTCTCATTAAAATAATATGTGATTACAAAAATAATCAAAATTATAATTATTTTCCAACTTTTTTTTCAATAGTGATTTATGTATATATGAAATATGATCATTTACGATATAAAATCCAAGAATGATATTAATGTGCAATTATATATGTGCAGAAAAATATTTATTAATTATTAAAATTTATGTATTAACTTGCAATTTGTAAAATATATAAATAATTTTCATCATACATACATTGATTGGTATATTTAATTCTTTTATATGCATCTTATATGTATATATATATATATATATATATATACATATACATATATATTATTACGATTTTTATTTTTTCAATTTGTTAAAAAGCTTGTATAATTAATTTTAATTAATTAAATGAACAATATGATATATAAAATTGATATAATTGATTTTAATGATAAGTTTATTTATGATTAATAATGATAAGTTTAATTTATATGAATAATCAATTAATAAAATAATAATAAAACATTATTGAAATAAGAT